TAAGTATAGAAACCTTAACCTTCGAAACTCGTGACGACGTGTCATGGTAAGTATAGAGTCCTTAACCCTCGAAACTCGTGACGACGTGTTATGGTAAGTATAGAGTCCTTAACCCTCGAAACTCGTGACGACGTGTTATGGTAAGTATAGAGTCCTTAACCCTCGAAACTCGTGACGACGTGTGATGGTAAGTATAGAGTCCTTAACCCTCGAAACTCGTGACGACGTGTGATGGTAAGTATAGAGTCCTTAACCCTCGAAACTCGTGACGACGTGTTATGGTAAGTACAGAATACTTAATCTTTGAAACTCGTGACGACGTGTCATGGTAAGTACAGAATCCTAAACCCTCGAAACTCGTAATGACGTGTCATGGTAAGTATAGATTTCTTAACCCTCAAAACATTTGATAAAGTTTAATGGGGGAAATAGTGAAAAATGGAATTTTTATGGATGTGGGAAAAAAACAGTAATTGAAAAAGTGTCTGAGAAAATCATTTTCTTATATTTATTCATCTCATATATAAATATACATATATATTACTTTATAACTAACAATTACATGAAACAATGTTAGCCCTGTTCACTTTATATTTCATCATTTTAATCAAGACGTCTCAACGGAACCAGCTCTCTTGAAGTGCGAGTTCTGATTATTTTATATCTGATCAGTTTGTATTGAATAAATTCCTATTCGAAACAAGTTCTTGAAAATTAAAGCCTAAGATTTGGAGTTAATGTTTTTCTTGATTGCGCACACAACTCACTCTAGGATCCCATAGCATAACGAACGACTCGCAATCTGCGGTTCTCGGGTTCGAATCCCCGTCACAACAAACATGCTCGCTCTTTCAGCCGTGAGGGCGTTATAATGTGACGGTCAATCCCACTATTCGTTGGTAAAAGAGTAGCTCAAGAATTGGCGGTGGGTGGTGATGACTAGCTGCCTTCCCTGTAGTCTTACACTGCTAATTTAGGGACGGCTAGCGCAGATAGCCCTCGTGTAGCTTTGCGCGAAATTCAAAAAACAATCAAGCATAACGAACGTGAGAGGTCGCTGTTTTAACGACATAAATATGAAATATATAAAATTTTAAATAACTATCGCGCGTTGGTGAAGTTGAGCAGATCGAATATCAAACATCTTTTGATATATTTTAACTTTGTAGATAGGTGTGAAATGAAATACAAAGAAGTGTATTGCAGTGAAGAGGCCAAGAGTGGGAGGTATTACTTTGACATAACGAAGAAACTATGTTTTAAGCTTCCCGAAGGTCGGTGTGCAGATGGAATCAATGCCTTCGACGACCAAGAACAATGTATAGCAACATGTGAAGGTAGAGACGAAAAACAGTTATATATATGTGTGTGTGTGTGTGTTTAATATACTTAAGTTAAAGTGTAATTTTTATTTCAAGACATCCCAAGACTCACGGCATAGTTAACCTTACAGCCTATAGATGGCGCTGTCGATTTAATTATCAAAACCTCCTCTTATATTAATGTATTTATTTTTCTGGTTTTTTAAAACATTATTTTTATCTTTTCAACTTGAAGATAGATGTAACCTACCGAATAAAGTCGGACCATGCAAGGGTTCTTTCGTGCGTTATTTTCACAATCCCATAAGTCGACAATGTGAAACGTTTTATTTCAGTGGTTGCGGAGGAAACACCAATAATTTTCTCGAAAAAGAAGAGTGTGAGAGGAAATGCGGAGGTAAGTTTACCTCTAAGAAGAAAATTGGTCGTAAACAAGGAATTTAAACATTTTGTATAAAAAGTACACGTAGAAAAATACTGTAAACTATATGTTTAAACCAAATTTTCTTGAAAGCTAAAGCACAGTTACATCGTAGGGTTGTTATAGTTGTTGTTTTATTGTCTAAATAGTGGAGTGTTGTTAGAGTTGTTGTTTTCTTGTCCAAACACCAGAGTGTTGTTATAATTACTGTTTCCTTTTTCAACCACCAGAGTGTTGTTATAATTATTGTTTCCTTGTCCAAACACCAGAGTGTTGTTATAATTATTGTTTCCTTGTCCAAACACCAGAGTGTTGTTATAATTATTGTTTCCTTGTCCAAACACCAGAGTGTTGTTATAATTATTGTTTCCTTGTCCAAACACCAGAGTGTTGTTATAATTATTGTTTCCTTGTCCAACCACCAGAGTTGTGATACTTTTTTTAAAGACTTTCTAATTGGTGTCTTCCATTATATTACAGATATTTGTCATCAACCGAAAAAAGTTGGTTTCTGCAGAGCTAGGAAACCCCGCTACTATTTCAATCCTGAAAAAGGGAAATGCGAGTTATTCTATTATGGCGGATGTGGTGGGAACGCAAACAGATTTACAACCTTGGAAGAATGTGAACATAAATGTCATGGTAAGTACAGAATCCTAAACCCTCGAAACTCGTGATGGCGCGTCATGGTAAGTACAGAATCCTAAACCCTCGAAACTCGTAATGGCGTGTCATAGTAAGTACAGAATCCTAAACCCTCGAAACTCGTGATGGCGTGTCATGGTAAGTACAGAATCCTAAACCCTCGAAACTCGTAATGATGTGTCATGGTAAGTATAGAAACCTTAACCTTCGAAACTCGT